CCGTTAATAATCCCAGACATGATTCCAACGGCCCGCACAACATTCGGTCTGAGGCAGCGCGTTTGGCGTTCCGTCGTTAATTTTTTTTAAATTCCAAACTACATCACTGGTATTTACAGAATGTGTTTCCCTCTGATAGAGAAGAAAAACTACTGATCCATTCTAATTATTTGAATGTCAAGACGTTATTCTCTGATGGACCGATTTGTGTGTTGGAGACGAAAATTCAAGCTATGCCTGGTTTCTTTAGCTGCTCATTGCTTATCCAGAACTTCCCGAATGTTTGTAATTAAAGTGACTGTGACCATAAACTGGAAAAACGTGCTTTTTTGTTTCGCCACATCAAAAGCAACAATGACTTCTAGTAAACGCTTTGCAGTCATAGTCATAGTACACACCATAATATAGCATTTATTTACACTTCAACTGCTATGAAAACAACCCTATAAACAGCAGGACAAAATTCAAACAATTCCACTTCCCGAGAGCTAAAAAAAATTGTAAAATGATATTGAGCGAGGAAGCCTCTGCTTTGCATGCACCATGGCAAAAATACAAATTACAGAAAAATAACTTCAAAACCTATGCACACACAGCTGCATCTGATTTTATACATTCTAAGACTGAACGAAGTGAGAAAAACATTACGTCAGACAAACACGATGATGGTACACAAAAATGACAATAGAGGTACACATGGAAATATTTAAAGAATTGAAGCAAGTGGTAAATTGCACAGCAGAGAAAGGCAAGGCACAGCTACAAATGCCGAATTTGCTGAAAAAAACAAAACCTCCAGATGACAAGGCTGGATGAAAAACTTAAGTACAGCGACTAAGCTTCAAATATTTTGCCGTTTCACGCTTCTGCACTCTGACACGATTGAGTGATTTAACAAAGAAATGCAACCTAGTGGTAACATAAAATGCCATCACTTTAGCAGTCAGCGTTTGGGAGTGATCAGAACATCCGATGTGGGGCTGTGCTCGTCGCCGAATAAGTGAAATGATGTCCATGACACTTTCGTGATGGAGCTCTTGTGTGCTAAAACAGCTTGTAAACAGATTTTCTAGGTTTCTCAGGAACATGAAAAACACATCTGATGGGTACAAAAGGCCCCCCTTGTCCTTCAACTGTGTGAACTGAGCTGCATGGAGGTTCTGAATTTTGTTCTTGTCAACAAGCAGCAGCTGTCTGCATGCCTCACAGGGGGATTTGAGCAAGAACTTCCTTGCCACGTATCCAGCAATATAAAAGATCAAGCGCTGGTCACTCCTTGCAGAAACGCATGACACATGATCTGAATCTGCCTCTGTCAAAGATTGAATAGCAAGCTCAGCACTGCAGAGATCACCCTCGTCAATCAGTCGATCGATTAGCGATTGCTTGGTGTGCTTTGATCCTACCCCTCCTGCATCAGCCTCGAGCAGTGAACTCAACACACTTGGCTCAGCATTTCCACCTGAGACAGACTTGGCAAGACTGTAGAAGCTGAGGCAGGAAACAGTAATTAAAAACTGTTGGGGCGTGGGGTGTGTGTTGCAGCCCGATGACTGCCTAGCGATGCCGAAAAAGTTCTCGAGTGGGTCTTGGCTGAGCCTCGATGTCATGAGGAACCTGTGCCCGGCCTCTTTCCTCAGGTAGTCCATGAGAGACAGGGTACTGGCAATTGTGACCCTCAGTCCAACTGTAGTAGAGTTTGACAAAAATCCACCACGTCCTCCTGCATGAAGCTCCCACTCAACAAGGTAAGCCAGAAATGACAGCAGCCTGTCCACAGCAGCTGAATCTGGACGAAGAGCCTCAGCAGAAAATCGCGATGACATTATCGCAATGAGGTCCCGCATCATGCTGAAATGAACAAATCATGTGATCAGTGTTTGTTACGATGCGGATTATTTAAGTCAATCAAGTGACCGTAATAAATATTTTTCGTCATACCCAAAGAAGATGAGGACAGCCTCGATACTTCCGCAGCGGGCTTCGATGTCACTTTGGTAGAGGCGAAGTCCATTCAGAACAGTGTCACCGAAGAGTTGAAAAGCATATGTCACCCTCATCTTTTCAAAATTGTTAGGTTGCACGTGCCGTGTGGTGATGCCCGGCATAGCCTGCAGGGTCACGTTCGAGCCATCAACTTTCAGAGCCTCTCTCACTGGATGGACGGACACCTGTAGGACGGTAGGAAAAAATATTATTGTGTTAGACATCACACTGATAAGTTTGAGCACAGTGCAGTGTACATTTGTTTTCTTTATATAAACGTGGTCCAAAAGGGGCGATTACTTTTACAATTCAAATGCGCTAGTGCGATGAAAATATCACGGTGTACACTTACATGTCCGGCTGGCGTATTGAAGCCTGGTTGCAGGAGCCCATTTCTGACACATTTCACGAGATGGGGGAAATCTGAGACGAAATGAAGCGAGCGCTTGCTGTCAACAGGATGCTGCACTTTACACTTTGTGCTTGTCGCGGTTGCGCCAATGCCCATCAAGGCCCACATTTTTCTATTCCAGGTAGCTCCATCCGATGTTATGAAATCTACGAAGAGGCCAGCATTTTCTGCCAAGATCACTGCCTCTAGCATCACTTTTGCTAGGAGATCTCCTTTCATGTTGCCGTGTGTTGCGAAAGTAGCAAGTATCTGTGTCCACTTGCCACTGAATGGCACAAACATTATAACCATTCCATGGTCTGCCACCTGATGCTTTTCAGTACTGGGGGTAAATTGACCCATGTCAACAAAACCTTCTATGTGGCCCGAGGATGAGACGGATAAATTCTCTGACAATTTCATTTCATCCACCACAAGCCCTCCGTGCCTCTTGAAGCCGTCCATGGTGCAGGTTTTTTCTTTCAGAACATTCAAGACTTTTTCATTGAACCCAAATCCGGTCCTGTATAGGACTTGAGGTACTTCTGTAGAGTGACTTTGCTTGGCAAGACGAGAACCTGCTGCCTGCGCATATGCTCGTAGAGCTTAGGGCCTTTCATGCGCATGATGAGGCACTCAAGGATCCACTTTTTTGAGTATGTCATTCCTTTTAGGCTTTTTAGTTTCGCTGCTCTGAACATATGCAGAGCCGCTGCTTGCTGCTTTCCAGGTAGGCCTTTAATTCGATATTCAAAAACTTCATCTGTCACCTTGGAATTGTCTTCTTTCATCTTCTTTAGTTGACCTGCCAGGGTGCACAAGCGTGACGTCAGCCGCTTTGTCTTCTGGTTCACAACTTTCAGCCGCTGCGACAGCTTCCGCGTCACCGGTTTCTTCGTCTTCAATCTTGACTTTCTGGTCAACAGTGCTTTTCGGCTGGTCCGGCAATGAACACAGATGCTCCCTGAAATGAAAAAAAAAAGATGCAGAATTAGATGCATGAGGACAACACACTAATAAACACTGTGTGATCCGTACAGTGAAGACTACAGAGGCTTATAAAATGTAAAATAATTTAACCTTTAACTTAAAAGACAAGTATGAATTGATAATATTTTGAAGCAGAATAGCTGCACGGTGTCTAGATATAGGTTTTTAATCAGAGTGCATCTCTATTGAATTCAAACAAGTGCATACCTTCAGTCGTGACTCCTCCAGGACAGGCCTTGCTGAAGATATTGTTGTTTAGCAGACTGAAGGTGTTGGTCATCTTTACAGTCAGTCTCTGTTCAATTTCTCTGTATGCAGCTTGACTCATTGCTCAAGTGCAGAGGGGTGTGGCGTTGGCTTCTTCAAGCACACTTCTTGCTTCACGAAGGGAGCCAACTCCTCTGGGCTCTCCTTCTTTCCCATTAAGGTAGCACCGAGCTACAATTGCATTTTCTCCATCCGAGGAGAAACAGAGCACCTTTTCATGCAACACTTGAAAGGGTTCCTTGCTTGTGCGTGTCGTTGCATACACGAGAACATCGAGGTCTGGTGTGTTTAACATCGTCCACATCTTTGGTACGGCTAGATTGTCAGCGATGACCTGAAGACCGAGACCGTTCGATTCGAGATAAAGAGGATAATCCTGGCTTGGGTCGCCGGCGGGGTCCACGTTCGGGTCAACGTCTTGATCGAGCCGACGTTTCTTTATCGGTGCTGGGTTAGGAACTGCCAGGCGCTTTCTTTCCGGTCTTGGCCGCGCCACGGGCTTGGACAAGTAAGCCGGCAGGTCCGGTAAGAGCGTTGGCACTGCACCCGGAGCTAGAACAGGCCGCGCTCGAGGAATGCGCACCTCACTGCCGCCGATCACGTGTACGAAGTCGCGAAGAACGAAGTGATCAGCGAAGTGTTTCTCACATACCGCTGACGTTTCGGCGAGAGGTTTGTCCTTGCGCTTGAGATGCCGCTCCCAAGCATTTCGTTGGATGTCATTCTTCGGCGCTGAGAACAGCGAAAGCTTCCGTCCATTTTCGCCGCGATGCCCGGGATAACCGGTTTTGCAGCCCGGTGCAAAGCAGTGCGTGTCCACCTTTTTCTTTTCCATCTCACAAATCACTAACGTCAGAGCTGAGACATCATGTTGAGAGCTTCTCACGGGTGTTCATGGCACACAAGATAGAAAACTAGCGGAACCCGCCAAGGACCTGTGCCAAGGACCACTCGACGGCGTCAAGCGGACAAACGTGGGAGAACGCAGCCGAAGCAGCCGCCGCGTCCGTTTTCTCCTCCAGTTACCGACAGCAGCGCCACATGCGGCCGTCCGCTTTTTCCGGCACAGCTCCTCCCGTTGATATCGGCCTCGCTCTTGCCACTACACCCCTTCTAGAACACTGTAGTAGGAGGAAACTGGAAGCTGCACTTCCCTGGCTTCCGAGGCATGCATCTCCGCAGTAAATGAGAAAAATGAAAAGTAAACGCGTAGACTCTAAACATTAACAAGTTACTAACAAAATAAATTAAGCAACATTTTATATTCAGTTGTAAAAGAAATTGTTATAAATAAATAGCTAATATATGGAAATAGCTAATATCTTCATACGTATTTACTGCAGAATTATTCCAGGCAATGGCGCCTTTTCCGGCCCGCTAGTATCGCCGCTGTCTCTGCTGTTATCCTGCTACCGCGCTCGCTTTCTCTTTTCGCGAGTGTTATATTCACTTTTAAATTGCAAAGATCAAAAGCGAGCAGACACGAATGAGCCACTCTCAAGTCTGGGCAAGCAAACAAGTGCGAGTCTCGATTTAGGACCGGTGATTGACAGCCTCCGGCTCGCCACTATTGCCACTATGCTCCATTTCATCGAGCACGGTTTCATCGAGCACGGCTACACGGGAATCGGAAGGTGAGTGACCTTTTGGAAGTTAGTCGTTGGGCTGTTCTCAGAGACAGTGGACAATTGTGTTTTGACGCTTGAGAAAGTCAGGGCGGTGGAGCTGCTGTGTCGTCGGTGTGGGCCTGACGCCGCGCCGTCTAAAGTCCGCCCCGTCCAGCCCGGGTACGGTGTCAGAGGGCTGCTTGGTCTCTCGGGCGCAAGCGAGTTCGGCTACAACTCCAGCAATGTTTGGGGCCGTGTGTTTTTCCCCTCATATGTGTTCCTCAGTCAGGCTTTTTTAATCATAAAGCAGACCAAGAGATTTGCTCTCCAAAAATCAATCGTATTTTTTTTTTTTTACACACGAATGGCTTTGATCGAAGCTACTAATGGTTGTTTCACTTCGTGTGCAAACGAAGCCGAAGCTACTAGCACAAGCATGTTCCCCTGAACCTTTGCTTGCACTGCACGCTCGCGCGTGCTTGGCAGGGGCGCTGAAAGCCTCGCGTTTAGAATGAAGTGGATCATGGTGAGTCAATGTGTGCTTGCATGGGGCATAGTTTAGTGCTGGACTCGATTCTGCAGAAGCAAAATGCGAAAGAGCGGCAATACCGTTCCTACAGTGGATTTCAAGCAGGTAGATAGTGCGCAGTGTTTAGCACAGTAAAATTAAAGATTCTCAATTAATCGGTAATATGTTGTTTTTAATACCATACATAAACTCTGATGTTGATTATATACTATCTGCACACTCATGAAGGCACACCATCATGCCTGCACTTTCCTTTGGCAGTTTCGTGATTAACATCGCTATACATATCCTACCTCTGCAAAATACATGCACGTCTGCCCTCTTGCAGAGCACATTGTAGTCCAATCACTGCAAAGTGCACCCAGATGATTACGGGGCTTACAGTATGATGCAATTTAAGAACGTAATTTCAACATGGATATGTTCAATTTCCTTGCACAGATCACTTCCTTGGTGCCTCGTCGTACACTGGATGCACTCCATAAATGGCAGGAACTGGCCTACTGTGGATTTGTGGGAAAGAAGGTGTGCAAGTACATTTAATGCTCTGCTTTTGTATTTGAGTGGCACTCTACTTTTGATAGCAAATTTATTTTTGACTTTTATTGAACCCATTTTTTTGCATTTTCAGGAAAGGCCAGGGAGCAGGCATTAATGGGACCAGTGGACCATAAAAATGCCCCTGGTAACTTCTACTATGGAATGTGCTGTCCTTTTTGACTACCAGTCAAGTCGTGTACAAGGCAAGTTTGAACATTGTTATATGTGCCTATTTGTTTCCAGAGCTGTGAAGCAACATTTTTTGGTAATTAGTCACAAAATTACAGTTCAAAGGCTTATATTTTGTGCCTATTTTTTAAGTATGAAACCAGTGTTGTATAGGCATCTTTAATATTCACCTCAAGATCAAACTGTGTGGCAAATATGGTAAAATTTACTTGAAGGGCAACTCCGCTTCATTTCTGGTTTTGAAAAAACAATGCAGTCCTCTTCAGTATCGCCTAGGAAGACCACACATCAAATATTACGACGCAGTTCTGTCTAAATGTATCTTAAACGGTCCGGCAAACTTTGCAACTCGCCAAGTTGCCGAAATCAGCTGAATCGAGCGGGCGAATTCAGGCGCAACCAACAGCGCAGTCAAGGCTACGGCATGGGCGGAGCCAACATTGAGCTAAACGTCATCATCATGGCCCCCTTTTGCTTGTTTTTACTTCTCCGATCGAGCGTAGCGCATGACGTCAGCAACGTTTCCTCTCGGCGCTCAGCGGTGTCCACGCGATTGGCGTACGCGCCTGCGCAGCGCGCTTCTTGGGAGCAGATTAACCGCCCGCCGTGGTCCCGCCGTTACCGCCGTTACCGCCGTCTTCAGCGTCACAACCACCGTCGTCGTCTCACCGTTCGTGATTATTGCCTCGCGGAGTTTCGTCCACACTATGGACACCACGTGCGCAGAGTCGCAGACTTATGCCACAGTTGTGCAGACGTCGTCGAATGCCGTAGACACCAAAACGTGGCGAAGAGTGCGGTGCAGACGACACTCGCGCCTGCCGCACGCCCGCCCGCCCCCATCCCGCCTGTCGTTGGGCCGAGAATCACGTGACATCTCGTACCACGTGATGGCCATGTACTTGGCGGCCCGATGCCAATGTTGCCGGACGGAGCCGAAGTTGAAGTTTCGATTTCCGCTTGTGTTTAAAATTAGGTTTAAAAATATATATCCCATTTTTCGCGAAGCAAACGACGTAGTGTCTTTTACTAGGGCTTTTTAATTCGAAATCAATCATTATCCCGAAATCTTCAGAATTGAGCGGAGTTGCCCTTCAATGAAAGTTGTCTGCACTCACCCCTTCAAATGGTTTTGTTAGGGTCACGATATGTAGAAATGAGCTCCCCACGGCAAAGACTATATTCTGTTACAACTAAAAAAAGTGCAAAAATGAGACGAAGGACAAGTGAGAAGAATGTACACGAGAAGCGCTGACTTACAACTGAATTTTTATGGGGAAGAAGCATGAAACGTTCTAACCTTTAAAACACCAAACACTGCCAATCTTATCAATGTGATTACAATATTGCTTCGTAAGGACACCGTTACGAAGCAATATTGTAATCACATTGACAAGGTTGGTGGTGTTTCATGTTTTGGTGGTTGGAGGGGTTTTATGTTTTCTCCTAATAAAAATTCAGTTGCAAGTCAGCGCTTGTCGCTTACATTCCTCTCACTTGTCCTTCGTCTAATTTTTGCACTTTTTTTGGTTGTAATGCATCACCCAACTCGCCCAAGTTGCCACTCTTAAGGCACATTTCTACCGGCGATGTAAGCAGTCGCAAAAATATTAGATGGTCACACCGGCGTGCGCGATGAGAGAGTCCAACGCCTGCGTTGGCGAGTCGTTTCTCGAAAACTCGCTCCGAACACCGTTGATTGGCTTAGCCGCTCTGCGACTAGATTGCATTGCGAAAAAATCGCGTCGAGTAGCGGACTGTTCAAATCGCGTCGCTTTTTGTACGCGATGGTCGCTTTTGCGACTGGGTCAAACCGGTTCGACAAACCTTCGAAACTTTTAACCAGATTCGACTTTGTGGACAGCGTGGCAAGACTGTGATACAAGCATGTCTAGGTCTGCAGAAGTTTTTTTCACGCAAAGGTTTATTTCAATTTTATAAACAGTTACAAATAAAAGAAACTAACTCTAACCTCTGAAAAAGTTAATAACTTACTTTTTTGTACTGTATTAACTGGAATAACCAATCCGTGCTGCCCTTAATTCATCCCTTAGCCATCACCATCCAATCCGAAGCCAACTGGCCAGCATGTCACGCATGCGAATAGCAGTTGAACCTGAGTCGAACCTTTTTCTAACTTTTCGCAAGAAGTTAGAAAAAGTCGAACCTGGTCGAACTCAAACCTCGGCCAGTTCGCGACACCCCTACAAGAAAGGTCTTGCTGGCTGAACGGTTGATTGGAGATGCAAAGCGATCGCGTCGTGCTAAACATGATTTGATAGATGCTTCTCGGCGCAGATTAATACCAGAATCTGCATCGTGTCAGCCCGGCAAAGTTCCTCATACCAACTTTTTTGGTATGAAAAATGGAATGAAAGAACGTTTGGTGGGCAATAGTTGGGGTCATTTTTCTTTAAAAGTCTTACTTCCAACTTTCAGAAAGGCACAAGCATTGGAGACCAGCTGCCTTCACAATCATGCCCCCCCCCCCCCCTTTCCTGGTAGTTGCTGTCGGTGAGCAACCTGATAGCCTTTGGCTTTTCTACCTTTCTAATAGAAATGAATGGTTCTTCTACACGTGCAAAAGTGAAAAGTATGGTACTGCCATGTTTTTCAGTTTTGTAACCCTTTATTTCCTCAGACCAAACATTTTTCTTCAGCTTGGTTCAGATGCCCAATACATTCATGGAATATTGCGTCCAGAAATTTCTATTGTGCGTTGTGTGTATGTTTGGGGCTGGGGGGAGGTTTACTTCGTAGGTCCGTTTGGTAGACAGGACGTTGTCAGAAAGAGAACTGTAGATATGAAAACCTTTTATTACGGGGCGGATGAAAAAATGAGAATATGAAACAATATGACGTCCTGTCTTCCTCTTTCTTGTTACTTTCTGTAACCTAGTCTTGTAACTTAGAATCATATACTACTACATAAGATTCAATGACATGGAAGGTACTGGAGCTCCTTAAACACTTAAAAAGCACATGCAAAGGAAAAAAAAATTTTAAACAGACTAGATGGAAAAAGATTGTTATAAAACGAATTTACAACGAAAAAATACAATTTTTAGAGCTATATTTATGGCGCAAAACGAATTTGTAGTTGGCGCCCGTGAGAGCCGCTGCTGGTCACGTGTTAGACCTGTGCACCGCCGCGCTGTGTCGCCAAAGCTGCAAAGTCACGCCGCCACAGCATGCTGAGCATTGTGCGCCGCCGCTCCAATGCATATGTCCTCGGCGGTGCCACCGTCGCCGTGCAAGTTTGTGTGCTCTGGGGTGCCGCCGGATTCCGAGTCAGAACATCCAACCCGTCAGAACATCCATCGAGTCAAAACATCCATTCGTGGATGTTTTGTCTCGGTGGACGTTCTGACTCGATGGATGTTTTGACTCGGATGGATGTTCTGATTCGATGGATGTGTTGACCCCATGGATGTTTAAACTCGAATGAATGTTCTGACTCGATGGATGCTTTGAGTCGATGGATGTTTTGACTCAGATGGCTGTCATGAATATTTTGATGAGTTGAATGTTTTATCGTTTTTTTGCCTGAAAGGACAGAGCTGTTGTGTAAACGACTTTTGACGTTTTGGTAAGCAAGGACCGTTTGCATACGCTCCTGGACAAAATTGAATTATTTATGAAGGACAAAATTGAGTTCCGTATTTGACGGAAGTGGATACGATATGCTCTTATTTCTTTACTCTTATTTGAGCTGTGAACTGCCTTTATGATTTTATTATCTTATTGAGACCTTGTCAGTTATTTAGGCTATCCAATAAACGTGTTTTTATATGTATTTTGTGATTTCGATTCCTTCAATTTCCCTCTATCAGTGTTAGTTACTTTTTTTTTTTTTGCAAGATTTCAGATTTCAGAATTAGTTTATTTCGTCTATATGTACAGACGACAGGGGCATGGGCAAAAAGCCAACACATGTTGGCTTGACTGGGCCCCACCCCCGTTTTCTTGACAGAGGCGGATAAGCAAATTGTAAGATCATTGCTGTTGTTTCTTTAATCCCTGCTTTAACCACTCAAGGTCTGTTGTTTTTATTAATAAATAAATAAACAAAATATTAAAGTTAATATCGTCAGGGACATGTAAACAGACCTAAATAATTTTTCTTTTGTTTTGTCACGTATTAAGGGGTGTACGCTGTCAGTGACCCTGTGTCTTTCTTGTAGCATAATGGAGCGTAAAATAAGAAAGTATTTTGGTGGTCCACTCCGTAATAAAATCAGTTAGGACACGACGGCGCAGTGGCAATGGCTCTCGAAAGCGTCGATCGGTAATGTTACGTGATCACGCGACGTGGTTTAAGATTGTCATTTACTTGCATTACCGGTAAAGTACGCTGCTTTGCCGTCTTAGTGGCGTTTTATTTTCTGTCGTTTGACCCGTGCAGCTCGAGAGCACGCTACTCTGCGCTTCGTGGCAGCTACGTGACCCACAGACAATGAACAAGGCCTTTTGAATCCGTATAAAAATGATAGGTATTTAGATCGCCTTTGAAGAAACCAGTGTGACAGCCATTCTTTAATTTTAGCTTGGTGTATGTCAATGCGTTCCTAAGAGGTTCGGAAAGAAAAGTGTATTTGTTCCAGGCAATGTGTGGTAATAAATTTTAGCAATTCATTCAAAAGCAACGTGATAAAAATCATCCAAACGAAAAGAACGATATTATTATTCACACGAAAGATTACTGCACTCTGAAGCTTGTGATGGTGAAACATTTTTCAAAACAGAATGGATCTGTTTTAAAAGTATTTTTCTTCGCCTTATTAATTTAAAAAAAAAAAAAAAAAAAAAAACTCTTTTTTTTTCATATGGGTGGGAGCAGCAGAGCGCGCGACGGGCTAGCTCCGAGTCTGCGCGATTGCTCGAGGTACCAAAATACTGTTGTCGGTGAATTATGCAGCGTAAGCCCTTCAGAAAAATTAATTCCACCTCGCCAGTCAATTACTTCCATTTTTGTGTTAAGCCTCTGAATTGTTTCAAGACGCTCTTGTCCCAGACGTTCGCCGTGATCAGTAACGTTATTCCGAGAGAATCGTAGCTTTAGTTCGTGGTTTTTAAAGTTAGTGTCACTCTCGGACAAAACACTCTACATGGATTTGCTCAATTGTATATAAATAGT